GTGTTATTGGTATTTGTTATTGGTATATTGTTATATATGGTATATGTATCTTTATATATGTTGAATATGGTATATTCCAGTAGCACCTCAGCCTGTGTACCAGATGGCGCTGGCAGACAGCTGCCCTGGACACAGAATTGACCTGTGCCTCCATGGACAGCTGTGAATCCAAAATGACTCCCAGGCTGTGCACCTGGTCCTTCAGGGGCACAGTTGCCCCATTCAGGACCAGGGAGTCCCCGACACCCGCCCGCCCCCTGTCCCCCCAAAACAGTACTTCTGTCTTGTCAGGATTCAACCACAATCTGTTAGCCGCCCTCCATCCTCCAACCGCCTCCAGACACTCTTCGCCTCTTCATCGCTTTGCTCAGTCTGCTTTGCCTGTATTGGCATTTTTGGCGGGGGGGGGGGGCGGCGGGGGGGGGGAGAGAGGGAGGGAAGGAGAGGAGAGGAGCTCTGCCAAACATCCCTCTCTCCCTTTGAAAGGAAATGTGCTTGACTGTGCAGAACAGGATGGAGAGAAGCCAAGCGGCTTGGTGGGCAGGGAGACCTCATAAGGCTGGACTCCTGTCAACAAGAATTGTTCCCCTGTGTTTTCCTTGGCTGGCGGTGGGGGGCAAGCAGAGGGAGGGGCTTGGGGGTCCCGAGTGCCCCTCTACAGTCCCACCACGGCTTGGTTTCTGCTCAAGTTCTTTTTTTATTTTTCAAAAACCATAATAACAATAATTAGGTTTCTGCTCAAGTTCACGGGGAGGCAGCTGTGCGGTGCCAGCCTTGGTCCGGTGCCCCCGCGCCAGCCAAGTGTGGGAATTTCTCTCTTTAAGCATATTAGGGCCCCTGCACACAGCTGGCGCAACCGTCAACAACAAGCTGAGCCAGCAGCCTGGATCCGGCTGGAGGCGGCCCGTTTGGAGCACAGCAGCGCTGGCTTCTGAGGGATGCCAGTCAGGTGCATGTTGTTGTTTAGTCGTTTACTCGTGTCCAACTCTTCGTGACCCCCTGGACCAGAGCACGCCAGGCACTCCTGTCTTCCACTGCCTCCCGCAGTTTGGTCAAACTCATGTCCGTAGCTTGGAGAACACTGTCCCACCATCTCGTCCTCTGTCGTCCCCTTCTCCTTGTGCCCTCCATCTTTCCCAACATCAGGGTCTTTTCCAGGGAGTTTTCTTTTCTCATGGGGTGGCCAGAGTATTAGAGCCTCAGCTTCACGACCTGTCCTTCCAGTGAGCACTCAGGGCTGATTTCCTTCAGAATGCATAAGGTGCGTAAGGGACCAGAAAGAACGGCCGACAAGTCACAGACTCCTTTACAGCGGTATCTTGGGTTACAGACACTTCAGGTTACAGACTCCGCTAACCCAGAAATAGTACCTCGGGTTAAGAACTTTGCTTCCAAATGAGAACAGAAATCATGCTCCGGCAGTGCGTCAGCAGCAGGAGGCCCCATTAGCTAAAGCGGTGCTTCAGGTTAAGAACAATTTCAGTTTAAGAACGGACCTCCAGAACGAATTAAGTACTTAACCCGAGGTACCACTGTAATAATAATATAATAATAAATTTTATTTATAACCCTTCCTCCCCTTGGCACGGCTACTGAGCAGAGGGCGATGGCGCAAGCTGGGCACAATTGGTCCTGCTGTTTGCTATTTTATTGTTTAATAATAATAATAATTTATTTATACCCCACTGCCCCGGCCAGAGCCTGGCTAAGGGCGGCTAACACCAGTAAAATTACAATAAAAACATAAGGGGGGAATACCCCAATTTAAAATACAGGTTAAAATGCAATTTAAAATGCAGCCTCATTTTAGTAGTAGCCGATAGATCAAAACCATAAGGGGAGGGCAACATAAGGGTCAGATTGAGTCCAAACTAAAGACCAGGCGGAACAGCTCCGTCTTGCAGGCCCTGCGGAAAGATGTCAAGTCCCGCAGGGCCCTGGTCTCTTGTGGCAGAGCATTCCCCCAAGTCGGGGCCAGTACTGAAAAGGCCCTGGCCCTAGTTGAGACCAATCAAACCACCTTGCGGCCTGGGACCTCCGAAATGTTGTCATTTGTGGACCTTAAGGTCCTCCGCAGGGCATATCAGGAGAGGCGGTCCCGTAGGTACGTGGGACCTAGGCCGGGAGCAGGATTTGAACACAAGATCTCTCGCTCCTCCTGTGGTTTCCAGGAAGTGTTGGAGCAGAGCCATCAGGCCCAGTAGCTGTCGATAGCCCTTCCTGAGCCACAAATTTGTCTCATCCTCTTTTAAAGCCATCCAAGTTGGTGGCCATCACCTCTTGTAGCAGGGAGTTCCACAGTTATAGCTGTGTCCTTTCTTCCATCTGTCCCGAATCTTCCAACATTCAGCTTCGCCGGGTGCCCACGAGAGAGGGAGAGAAACTAAAGCCACAGAATTTTGAGCTGGAAGGGAGCCCTGAGTCTCAAGTGAAAAGCTTCTGGGAAATGATATATAATGAGATGAAAAAAATGTTGAAATATACATTAATCAAGAAACCAGAAGCATTTTTACTTGGCATTGTAGGAAGTGATATAAACAGAAAAGAATGTAAGCTGTTTTTATATGCAACGATGGCAGCAAGAATATTATTAGCACAAAAATGGAAGCAAGAAGAATTATCGACGAAAGAAGAATGGAGGATGAAATTAATGGACTATGCAGAATTAGACAAACTTAACAGGAAGGATTCGAAATCTGCGGGACCAGAAATTCACAGAAGACTGGTGTAAATTTACAGACTATTTGAAAAGTAATAGTGATGATCAAAGTACGTTTGTAGGTTTGCGAGAAGTTTTGTGAGGTGAATTATTGGAACTATTGCAAAAATGGATAAAGGGGAGGATGATTAGTTATGATAATTAAAGGCAATATGAATTTAAGAAATGCATAAGAAGAGGTTAAAACGGGGGATCATCAGAGGTGCTGATGGGAGTCCATAAAAAGATTGTATAACTGGTGAAGTTTTGTGGTACAGTGGTACCTCGCAAGACGAATGCCTTGCAAGACGAAAAACTCGCAAGACGAAAGAGTTTTTAGCTTTTTGAGTTGCTTCACAAGACGAATTTCCCTATGGGCTTGCTTCGCAAGACGAAAAACGAAAACATCTTGCAAGTTTGTTTCCTTTTTCTTAAAGCCATTAATACCCAGGGTGATTTCGAGGAGCAACTCATAGCACGCGGTGTGGTAGCCTTTTTTGAGGTTTTTGAAGACTTTGGTGATTTTGAAGACTTTGGGAAACCGTGCTTCGCAAGACGAAAAATTCGCAAGACGAAAAAACTCGCAGAACGAATTACTTTCGTCTTGCGAGGCACCACTGTATGTATATAATTCATATGTTAAAATTAATAAAAATTATTATTAAAAAAAGGAAGGGACCCTTGAGTCTCATCTGGTCTAACCCCTTGCCAGGCAGGAAGTCGGGGTCTCCTTCCCTCTGCAGCTATTTCCCAGAGTGCTGCAGTTAAATCCTGCCCCAGTGACCCGGGGCCGACGAGCGGGTTGGTCTGCATGACCTCTGCGGTGCCCACAGCGGTGGCATTTGGGCTTGGCGCCCAGTCCTGTCTTTGGAGCAAAGCGTCAGCTGGGGGGAATCAGCTGCTCTTTCAAGCCAAGCCAGGTCCCTGACCCTTTGCCAGGCGGCTCCTGACCAGCTCAGTCATTCCTGGCTTCGCTTGGGGGGAACGGCTGCTGGGTCTGCAAAAGTACTTCTGTGTGGGTCTCTCCTCCCGGCCCTTCGCCACCCTCCTCTCATCTTTTCTCTCTCTCTTTCTCCCCCTACCACCGCCTGCCCAGGCCTCTGATAAGATCACATTCTAGGAAGCAATGACCGCATTGGTAGCCCATTCCAAACAGCTGTTCCCAACTGAGCCAGTGCCAGGGATAGGGGGAGGCGAAGGAGGGAGGCCAGGCCGTTTTGGAAGCCCGGATTTTTTGGCCTCGAGATATATATAGCAGATACAGAGTAGAGAGCTGGACAAAGACAGCGTTCCAGTGTCCCTCTGCGGCTGTGAAAAAGGCGGATTCCATGTGATCCTTGGGAAAGGAACTGGAAACAAAACAGCGGCAGTCATAATCGCAGTTAGGCAAATCTGCGTTCAGAGCATAGCTGTCAATGTTTTCCTTTTTTTAAGGGAAATTCCCTTATTCCGATAGGATTCCTCACAAGAAAAGGGAAAAGTTGACAGCTATGATTGAGAGCCATGCGTACGGTTCCTGCTGCCTCGCCTCCGAAAGGGTACAGTGGTACCTTGGTTCTCAAACGCCTTGGTACGCAGACAACTTGGAACTCAAACACTGCAAACCCGGAAGTAAGTGTTCCGGTTTGCGAACGTTTTTTGGAAGCTGAACATGCTCCATTTTAAGTGCCACACTTCCGTTTTGAGTGGCACACTTCTGTTTTGAGTGTTACGCTGAGATCTGTCTGTTTTTGCTATTTATTTTGCGTTTTTGTGGCTCTTTGTTTTGTTTTGTTTTTGCGACTGTGTGCAACCCAGTTCAACCCAGTTCAGCTCTTGATGGATTGATTGACTGTGTGACTGCAGTACATTGTTTATTGCTTTCATTTGTCTCATTAGATAGTAAAAATCATGTTAAATTGCTGTTTTAGAGGTTGTTTTCAAAAGCCTGGAATGGATTAATCCATTTTGCATTACTTTCTATGGGAAAGCGCACCTTGGTTTTGGAACGCTTTGGTTTTGGAACAGACTTCCAGAACAGATTAAGTTTGAGAACCAAGGTACCACTGTAAATGGTAAAGGTGCAGGCAGCTTTTAAGCAACATTGCGCAGGGACTGCCAAGTTCGGCCTTGGTTTCCCAGCCAGGAGGCACACGCCTGGTTTTGGAATGGACTTCCGGGATGGATTAAGTTTGAGAACCAAGGTATCACTGCATTGTGGAGTTGGAAAAGCTTCAGAAAGAGGCCACTGGAAAAAGATTCAGGGGTTGGAGCGTCTCCCCATCAGCGTTTTAGATTAGACAAAAGGTGAGTAAATGGGGGTGCAATGGATGGATGGCTCAGCTGGTTAGAGCGTGGTGCTGATAATGCCAAGGTTGCAGGTTCGACCACCTGCCTATTCCTGCATTGCAGGGGGTTGGAGTAGATGATCCTTGGGGTCCCTTCCAATTCTACAATTCTATGGTTATAAAGACTTAAGGAAGTGTGACTTTCACGGGAATACAGTGGTACCTTGGTTCTCAAACTTAATCCGTTCCGGAAGTCCGTTCCAAAACCAAAGCGTTCCAAAACCAAGGCGTGCTTTCCCATAGAAAGCAATGCAAAACGGATTAATCCGTTCCAGACTTTTAAAAACAGCCATTTAATATGAATTTTACTATCTAACGAGACCATTGATCCATAAAATGAAAGCTATAAACGATGTACTGCCGTCAATCAATCGGTAGCTGAGCTGGGTTCCACACGGTCACAAAAACAAAACAAAAAAGAGCTTCAAAGACAAAAATGCAAGATAAATACCAAAAACAGACAGACCTCAGCGTAACACTCACATCAGAAGCATAGCACGTCCGGCTCCCGAAAAACATTCGCAAACCAGAACACTTACTTCCGGGTTTGCAGTGTTTGGGTTCCAAGTTGTTTGAGCACCAAGGCGTTTGAGAACCAAGGTGCCACTGTAGTCACATTTTGGCTTGCACACTGATTCAAAAATTGGGTGGTTCAGATGCAAAGAGAACCAAATAGTTAAGATGCAAAGAGAATCTCTTCCCCCTCCATTTCTTTAAGAGAAGCACCCACTCACAGCTCCTGAGAATCCCTGTCCCACCAGCTGCCTGTGCAAAGAAGACGACCCCCCCTGCATAACCGGGGGTTGGACTAGATGACCGCTGGGTGCCCCTCGAGAATTCTACAATCCAGCCCCTTTCCCCAGGAAGCAGGCAGTTCCACACCAGCTCAGGGTGTATGTGTGTGTGTGCATATATATTTATATATAGCAGGAGAGGAGCTGGGCTCCCTCTGGGAGATGCCAGGCATTCCCGAAACTCCACGGCAAAGGCATTTGCGCTCCATTGTCTATCTTTGGTAACAGAGTCTCCTCCCGGCTTTGGGGGAAGGGCAGCAACCTTGGCATTGCCTGGCTGGCACCCCAGAGGCCAAGGGACTGACCTGCCCGCCGGGAAGCCCCTCAAATTTTGCCTCTGCTGTGATGTGCCCATTCTAGGAACGGCTGACCTTCCCGTTCCCTGGCCTCATACATGAGCTAGGGTTGTTGTTGTTTAGTCGTTTAGTCGTGTCCGACTCTTTGTGACCCCCTGGACCAGAGCACGCCAGGCACTCCTGTCTTCCACTGCCTCCTGCAGTTTGGTTAAACTCATGCTGGTAGCTTTGAGAACACTGTCCAGCTATCTCGTCCTCTGTCGTCCCCTTCTCCTTGTGCCCTCCATCTTTCCCAACATCAGGGTCTTTTCCAGGGAGTCTTCTTTTCTCATGAGGTGGCCAAAGTCTTGGAGCCTCAGCTTCAGGATCTGTCCTTCCAGTGAGCACTCAGGGCTGATTTCCTTCAGAATGGATCGGTTTGATCTTCTTGCAGTCCATGGGACTCTCAAGAGTCTCCTCCAGCACCAGAATTCAAAAGCATCCATTCTTCGGCCATCAGCCTTCTTTATGGTCCAGCTCTCACTTCCATACATCATTACTGGGGAAACCATAGCTTTTACTATACGGACCTTTGTTGGCAAGGTGATGTCTCTGCTTTCTCTGCTAGGGTTGCCATATTTCAAAAAACCAGGAGAACCCCAAAAGTTGCTGAGCTTTTTCTAGACAACCCCAACATTGTTGAATCCCAGATTCGAATCCTGCTAGCACCTCCAGGTAGGGCTGGGAGAGTGTGCCGGCTGAAATCTCTGAGAGCCTGGTCAGTATGGACAATACTTAGCTCGGTGGACCCGGTGGTCTGACTCTGTATAAGGCAGCTTCTTGTGTCAAGAGGAGCGTGCTGGATCAGGCCCATGGCCCGTCTAGTCCAGCGTCCTGTTCTCACAGTGGCCAGCCCAGTGCCTCTTCTGGGAAAGCAGGATTTGAACCCAACTCCTGTGGTTTCCCCTCAACTGGTATTCAGATGCACTGCTGCCTCCAATTGCGGAGGCAGGGCAGCACAGTCACCAACGATGCTGTCAAGCGTACAAAAAGTTAAAACGCTATCAAACAGATTAAAATCCTCACCAACTTTCTAAGCATCTGTGCAGGCCTGGCTAAATAGCAGCAGCAGCAGCAGCAGCTTCCAGCAAAATATAAAAATATAATAAAACGTCAAACATTAAACACTTCCTGAAACAGGGCTGCCTTCAGATGTCTTCTAAAAGTTGTGTAGTTCTTGAATGTTTCTTGAAGGCGCTGGAAGGAATACAGCGAAGGCGCCTGCCTGATATCACTAGGCAGGCAGTTCAAAAGTTTCAAGGTGCCGCTACGCCAAGTGACTGAGTTCTTAACAATGAAGAACAAGTATTCCTTGCAGTAGCGCCACTTCCGGCCGAGTGGGGTAGGACTTCTCATAGGTAAAGGGCAGACAGCAGGGTAAAGAAATTCTATAAGCCTATAAGGTGCTGTGGTCTAAACCACAGAGCCTAGGACTTGCCGATCAGAAGGTCGGTGGTTCGAATCCCAGCGACGGAGTGAGCTCCCATTGCTTGTTCCCTGCTCCTGCCCACCTAGCAGTTCAAAAGCACACCAGTGCAAGTAGATAAATACCGTATTTTTCGCTCCATAAGATGCATCTGACCATAAGACACACACCTACTTTTTAGAGGAGGAAAATAAGAAAAAAAATATTCTGAACGAACCAGTGGATGTATGATTTTTGTGGTTCATGCTGTGGCCACAGACATGATATGTGATTTGACGGTGAGTTTGGGGTAGCCCAGTGCAAAAATCCTAGGATCCATGTGGATCTGGGCTTTGTAACCACGTTTTTGCGCCATTGCGGCCCCAAGAAACAGTGGATGTGTGATTTTTTGGGTGCAGGCTGTAGCCATGGACATGCTATGTGATCTGATGGTGAATTGGGGGTGACCCAATGCAAAAATCCCGAGGATCCATGTGGATCCGTGCTTTGTAACCACGTTTTGTGCCATTTTAGGAGGAAAGAGGTGTGTCTTATGGAGCAAAAAATACGGTAGGTACCGCTCTGGCGGGAAGGTAAACGGCATTTCCGCGCGCTGCTCTGGTTTCGCCAGAAGCGGCTTAGTCCTGCTGGCCACATGACCCGGAAGCTGTATGCCGGCTCCCTCGGCCAGTAAAGCGAGATGAGCAGTGCAACCCCAGAGTCGTCCGCGACTGGACCTAATGGTCAGGGGTCCTTTACCTTTTTTATAAGGTGCTAGAAAGTTTATGCACAAACACAATAAATAAATGGCCAGAAAGCTGGTTAAAAGGTAAAGGTAAAGGGACCCCTGACCATTAGGTCCAGTCATGGCCGACTCTGGCATTGCGACGCTCATCTTGCTTTATTGGCCGATGGAGCCGGCATACAGCTTCCGGGTCATGTGGCCAGCATGACTAAGCCGCTTCTGGCGAACCAGAGCAGCGCACGGAAACGCCGTTTACCTTCCCACAGGAGCGGTACCTATTTATCTACTTGCACTTTGACATGCTTTTGAACTGCTAGGTTGGCAGGAGCAGAGACCGAGCAACGGGAGCTCACCCCGTCATTGCGGGGATTCGAACCGCCGACCTTCTGATTGGCAAGTTCTAGGCTGTGTGGTTTAACCCACAGCGCCACCCGCATCCCAGAAAGCTGGTTGCTCAGCGGCAAAAGTTTGCCTTGCCCTTGCCTTGGGCCTGGGCATCTTTTAGGATTGTGCTGGAGTTTTCTAACCGTGCAGCTGGCCTTGGGGTGTGGTCGCATTCCCAGGAACCCCAGATCTGGAAGAGAAGGAGGTGCCCCCTTTGCCGTGGGGGGTGGTGGTGTTCCTGGAATCCCAGGAATCTTCCACCAGCCGCTTCTTGCCCTCAGCTGTTGGTGGAAGCCCGATCCATCTTTGTCCTAGTGGAATGCGGGTGAGGACAGGTGTCGACAGATAACTACAAGGGGGCTCAGAGATAGTCCTATGGCAAAACACCCCCCCCCCCTTTAACTTGGGGTCCATAAGAGTGACAGAAACCTTATGGTCCGGCTTCTGTGAGATGAGCCACTGCTTCAACAGACGCTTCTTACATTCTTAGTCCAGTTTTTTTTGGGGGGGGGGGGCGGGCAGCAGACTTCTCGTGCAACAGCGCCAGAAACCTTTCAGTTTTGCAACCCGAATTTGCTGTTATGCAGCCAAATCCCACTTGCAAAACAGAAGCACTCAGAAATCGCTTCTAGGTATTTATTTATTGCAAGTATGGATGCACTAGGGATGCGGGTGGTGCTGTGGGTTAAACCACAGAGCCTAGGACTTGCCGATCAGAAGGTCGGCGGTTCGAATCCCCATGATGGGGTGAGCTCCCGTTGCTCGGTCCCTGCTCCTGCCAACCTAGCAGTTCGAAAGCACATCAAAGTGCAAGTAGATAAATAGGTACCGCTCCGGCGGGAAGGTAAACGGCGTTTCCATGCACTGCTCTGGTTCGCCAGAAGTGGCTTAGTCATGCTGGCCACATGACCCGGAAGCTGCACGCCGGCTCCCTCGGCCAGTAAAGTGAGAAGAGCGCCGCAACCCGAGAGTCGGCCATGACTGGACCTAATGGTCAGGGGCCCCTTTACCTTTACCTTTTATGGATGCACAAGCACTTATTTCACCTGCAAACGTTCCCAGGGTGAAAACGCCGGCAAAATCATAATTGGAGAACATTCACCATCCAACCTCCTGCAACCATTGCACACACAAGCCCTCCCTGTGATATTAATTTTATTTATTTATTATTTCATAAAATTTATACACTGCTTGAGTGGTTAAAAAACCCCAACAACTCTCAAAGTGGTTAAGGAAAAAGATGGAATGATAAAAAAGTAACAACTTTTTATAAATTCAGCACTTTAAAATTTGCTAAGATAACCATAGACCAAAATCAGATTAAAACTCGCACCGACTTTCTAAACATCTGGGTAGGCTTGTCTGACCAAAAATGCTTTTTGCAGGAGTCAAAAT